AGATAAACCTTCATCAGCCTTAAACCAGTTTGGAAATCTTCTTCACTCAGCCAGCATAAAGAACAAGATTCGGATTTTCCACACAAATGTGAAGTCAGTCAGTCACTGCTTCTATATGGGTCAGAAACTTTGGCCGGCATGTCACGAAAAGGATTTTCAACAAGTGACTTCAGACTTTTATCAACAGCTGCCACCTTCGCTGACTGGCTCCATACTCAATATCAAATGGCTAACAGGTCGGCCAGAAAGAATTAGCAACGAGAAACTCTGGTTGGGAACAAACTAACAAGCAACAGCCGATCGCTCAACAAATATGTAGGAGAAAATGGAAATAGATCGGGCAAATGTTGATGAGGCCGTCGAATGACATCGCGCGCAATGCAGGCCACTGTTCGAATGGAATCCCAATGGGAAGCGACGAGTGGGTCATCGCTGTGAGGGTAACATGGAGGAGATCGTGTGAGTTGGAGGTGGAGATGAGATATTATTGGCAATCGTGTGGATAGCCAGCTGCCGAGGACTGCAGGAAATAGAAGAAAGTGGAGACGTGTTGTTTTAGCCCTATGTTCCACTCGGAACCCAAGGGAATAATTATAATAATATGATAATGGTTACGCCACGTAGTGACAGCTTAGCTTTGGAATGTCTGTGGGAAACCTACTTGCTCCTGTTTGATTCTGGCAGACAGAGTTTTGATCTCATTTTTTTGGAAATATTCTCACTGATTCTCTGGAACTTTATAGTTGTGTGGTGAGAGCTGGCTGCTAGCCAAAATTGGTAGACAGTATTTTACGTCAATGTTTATGTCCCCAATATTGGTCATGAGAAAAATATGAACAAAGACTGATTCAACAACCAACCACAGCAGATTTTGCGTAGGCGGATACAGTTAGCATATAGATCAGCTGACATTCAAGAAACAGCCACAAAGAGATGAAAGATTAACTTTCAGTGAGAAACAACCAATCAGAAGACTTGTTTTTCTGTTAACTATAATCTATGATAATGTACATGAAAATCTATAAATATGTGTTGATTTCCTTAATAAACAATCTGTTGCCTGGCCCTTGTCTTCTGTTGTTACAGTTGTATTTGGACGGTTAAATTTGTTGTACACTGCATATTTTGTATCCGAGAGATTTTCGGACTGTATAGCTACCGGCCGGCATTGTATTGGTATTGTAGGTTTTTTTATTTCTGATATAAGTTGTTATTATTGTTGTTGTTGAATACCACAGATTCCATCAAATCAAACTGTCTTTTTGATATTGTTCCACTGTGTGCGTGTAACTCGTGGGGTTTGACAAGCTACACAGAAGAATGCATCCAGTGGACTATGAGTTCAGAAATAAAATATTTGAGTTTTGATTATTACAGTTTATACTTCTTATAAGCTTTCTTTTGATACTTCAATCATTTCTTGAAAGACTCCCTGACAAACGGACACCATTTAGAGAACTATTGGAAACCAGGGAGTACCGGAAGAGTGTTTCTTCCTAGCTTAAGATAAGACTATTCAGCAATACGCACCTATGACTCAACCAGGGGTAGAACACAGGACCTTCAGGTTACGAAACTAATGGGTTGCCACTCAGCCACTAGGCTGGAAGTCAATGACTTCAGTGACTTTCATTGTATAGTCAGATTTACCCAAAACTACTGTAGAGTTTCCTTTGTCAGCTTTTGTAATGACGATGTTTTTATCCTTTTTAAAAATAATTAGAGCTGGTCTTTCTGATTGACTACCATATTTTGCTCAATTATTTTGTTTTTTATAGATGTCTGAATGAATACTTTCCGATTTTGTTAAGTCTGACTGTGCCTTCTTTTGTTTCTTTAGAGTTAATGCACATTGTGTTCGAACCTCTTCTTCTGTCGTCTTATCTATTGAACTTAATGCTACTTCTATGTTAGGGATGACATCTTCTGGTTTTAGTTTACTAACCGTTCCATTGAAATTTAATCCCTTTTCACTAGAGCTTAATTCTCTTAATTCATAATCTTTATCATTTATAAATGATAAAGATTATGGAAGTCCATGACCCATGAATTCTAACTTTCGCCAATTCGCTACATATGGCGTCACCACGAGCCCATTTGGTGAACACTTCCAGTAAATTCATCCTGTTTTCAGTTACTAGTGAGAAACGCACTTATACTCCAAGAAGGACGAAACAGCTGTCTAATACTTCTCGGTGTTCAATAGTTCTCTAACTAGCTTCGGTTCTTGGAGAAATCTACACTAAAATCAGTTAAATCCCATCAACTACTGATCTACATTATTTCTAGACTTAGAGTTTTGGATGAATACTTTTTTCAACTTTTTAGCTGTTGTCAGCCAGATTCATCATGTGAATAGAGACGCTATTTGTACGTCAGAACGGAAAAAAGTTGATGAAAGGTTATACTTTTGAAATATGAGAGAAGATTCGTAGAGCAGATGAATGATTTCGATGGGAGTGTGTTCTCTGAGCTAAATCTTTTAATTGTGGACCTTTCATTGTCCTACTAGACAACCCTTTCAGCGTAGACTTCCATACGAAGTGAAACTATTTGGATTCTGCATGAGGGAGTAATAATATGTATATAAATTCATGGAGAACTCGAATAATTTCACTTCATACTTGAAGTCTATGCTGAAAATGGTGTCTAGAAAGATAATGAAAGCTTCTCTGTTAAACACAGACACATTAAAGATCATAATTATTACATCTAGTATGTTAATCAGTCATTGAATAACAGAACCGAAAAGCCTGAGACTTTGATAGTGAGGTGCATAAGAAGTGACAGTTAGGTGAATAAACAAAATAAAGCAGGTATTTATATCAGACGACTATGTAATTCCAGATAAAAGAGACAACTGAAAGAAGACTGAAGGGAAACAGTGTCTACTCTGACAACAACAAATATTATCTTTTAAACGTGATAAATCACATTTCATTAAAGCATTAGTACGACAACAAATATAGTGAAATAAATTACATGAAAGACAGTTAGACTGCATTAGTGATGGTCTGTTTTGTCTACACGGTAAGACAACACAAACATACCTGACTAAATTACATCATAACTGGCAACCTGAATATAAATAAGAATTAATAGTGGTTTAATTTACCCTATAAAGTTAAAATGGAATTTATATGCACTTCAGACTCAGCATTTAAAAAAGAGCCATGAATCAAACATAGCGTCGGTGGCACAGCGGTAGAGTGCTGGCCGACCACGCAGGTGGTCTGGGGTTCGATCCCCTGCCACAGACGCACTTCTTTACTTCGCTAAGCGAATATTAACATTGGTAAAGAGGGAGGGTTGGACATGAGGCTAGAAAACCCATCCTGTAAAAAATAATCACCACTGCTACAGAAACTTCAAGCCTCTAGCTTGAAGCCCCCTATGTTCCATTGGGAACGCAAAGGAATACAAAAAAATCAAGCATAGCTGCATGATGCTATATAGTAATGATAGATTTTTATGAGTAGTAGAATAATACTCACATGAACCAATACTGTTTGCTTGCCATTCAACCGCTTAACTTGTTTGGGACCGAGCTCACTAGCGGTGTACGTGATTCGACTCAGCTTTGACAGCCGAGTTTAAGCGGTTGAAAATGATTCATTTGTCTGAACGGAGTTATATTATCTACATTGCTGATATGAAGGAGGAATGGCTGTCCAGTTTTCAAATCACTTCGATCTGCCTGGCTAGCAAGCAATACTGACATGACTATATTGTGATTTGAAGAATTTCGGTTTCCGGGGTAAAATGTGGAATTTTACCTCGAACTGTGTAATTTGCAAATCGCGAATTAATTCCCAAATGGACATACGTATCAAGGCATAATTCCCATCTGTTGCTTACAAGTAAATCATACTGTGCTATTTATGGTAAGTAAATGAAGAAAGTTGCATTTGAAGCTATCAAAGTTGAATCTTTATATCACTGCGCCAAGTTTTCACAGGTGAACTTTGTCACTAAATGACTACATTTGTAGAACCATTAAAAACTAAGGAGAAATGGAAAAGCGTTCTGTTCCACCCTGAATATCTTGAACAGTTGACAATTAAATAAGTGTTACGCCGCCATCTCTCTTTTCTAATGGGTTCACCAAGCGAAGGATCTAATCTAATTTACATCTTGTCCCAGTGGTTTTCAGCAAGGAAAATATTTAACACTTTTAGCTTCCAAATTAATTTTCTCAAATCCTATATGGCGTTGTCTTTATTATGATGCTTATTATGCCGTATCCTTTCTCGCCCTGCCTTTACAACAAATTGAGGATGTAACCACCTTTCAGGTGTCTGAAACCGTTAGCTCACTTGTGAACAAAGTGAAGATGATCATATTTCAAGTTAACGAGGTTATCAACAAGCTGCTGTGGACAGAAGTCTCAAGCTAGCAACAGATTCATGCATACCACAGAAACTTTGGTCAGCGACCAAAGATGCACATTTATCTCAATGATTTTATAAGGATTTGGGCTTATTTTGTTCTTAAACTAAGGGGAATGATAATTGGATATGTATTTATTTTTTTAATTATGTAAATTCAATAGACTTTCAAAGATTTCTGTTGCCATGGAGACAATGTGACAATCTAGGTCTCGCTGCTGACCCTTTGACAACTTCAGGTAGCACGTCTCACATCTCAAGGTGTACCCTAAGATAGTGAGATTATTTTACCAAAAGTGTCTGCAGTGCATGAGAAGATTTTGCTATCTGGTTCCACCAGCCAACAGTCAAATTCTAGGAATCTTTGGGCCAAATCTTCACAGATGGAAATGCAATCCGAAGTCATGATGTAAAGCCAACAGTCTTCCATCTTAAGGTTATTTCAGTATTCACGAATCAAACAGCAAGTCAATATTTTACGAAGAAGGATACTTATCTCACAAAAGACACATAATATTTGCTTGAACTAAATTAAAGTCTCTATCTAACATTTCATTTAAAATGTTAAAAATTACCAAAGTATAATTCAAAGAAACAAAAAACTCAACTCACTTAGAATTATCTTTTCCTACTCGCTTTTCATCATTAGTAGTAGATTTATCTGACGGATCAATATTTTCAAGCACCTCTCCTTTACTGACTGTACTTAATCTTGAGGCAGGTTTATCTAATTCCAAAGAAAAACAACAACAGCAATAGGATGAGAGCGAGAAGAGACAATTCTCTTGATAGACTTTGGAAAGAAGCAAAATCGAACCTCTGTTTAACTTAGTTTTGTATTTCCCGTCGATTGACTATATTCGACCAAAATGTTTGATCGTTGTTGACAAGTTGGCTTCTAGTACGAGTGCTTAAGCAGTATCTGAGGATCAACATGATGTTCTTCAAGCGCTGAAATCCAGGAGGCGTATTTCGTCCTTTCTGGGACTCGTCGTCTGGATGCGAATACAATCCTCAACAACTTCACTCACTGTGGACTGCAGATACATCCAGATGACGAGTCTAAAACAAGACGAAATGTGCATTGTTGATTCCACTGCTAAACACTATCCAGCAGAAACAACAAGGATTCTTCCTCTGCTTTCGTTGTGGGTAAAATTTATTTTGATAAATCCTCGCAGTGTTATACAGTAATATCTACTGATCACCACTTTTCGAGCACAATTTACTGCTACTCATAATCATATCACGCCACTACTCACATAACTCTCCAACTTCGTTTATATGGTTCCAATATTTCTCATCTCACGATTTGATGATCAGTAGTAATATTTTCCATATTTCTGGTATGAGTGATGAATCATTCCTACTGCATGTGTTGGGTGTAGATTCTATGAGCAAAGATCCAGAAATCAACCTCTCTCTCCAGCTACCTATATTACTCTTTAGAATTTTAACCCTCTCCCACCCTGTTGTGTTGTTGATGCATGCAGTGCGATTACTGTTTTTTTTCTAAATTACTTATCTTCGCGGGTGGGGTCAATCATTCTAACCTTAGTTAAATTCTCACGTTCTGACAATCTGACTACACCCGATCTACTAGTTTGACATATGTAGTTGACTTAACTCACAGTCATTGGAAGGTATTTTGCAAATTATATTATTTTTATTTAATTGGGTCCATCTGGTCTCTTAGCCTACAGAGCTTGTCTCTGAGTAAGTTTGTTGGTTTGAATGCCACCCTAATTCCTGCTTTATTAAGATTCCTACTAAGTGGTTTTTCAGATGTCCCCTTCTTAATTGGTAAAACTGTAGATGCCTTATATTCCTTCTTATTTATGTTATCCCTATTAGTTTCCCCGGTTTTCCTCCAGCTACTGACAGCCTGGAACTACGACGTAAGCTTTAGTGAATAAATGCATCTATATGACATCTGTTAGAAATTATTTCATTTCAAACACCATTGTAGTGGAACAAGAGATATGAATACATGACAGCTAACCATCTAATAACCTCAGTTTATTTCTATATTATAATGTAGTGGAAAGTCCGAGTGGAGACAGTGTGAGAGTGAAAATTAGTGATGGTTAAGAGTAAAATTATTATACAATCAAACAACAAAGTAAACTTGGAGATTAATAATGAATTCATCTCAGCGAGTGAAAATCAGAAAAATAATATTCACATTATAGAAGTGATGGGGTCTTGAATTACATTCATTTGTTAGATTTTCTTCATGAATATCAATCGTTAGTTAGCTCACTGAGAGCTGCTAGATAGATTTTCTGAAGCTGCTGCAGTAGGGGGTCGTGACCAGTGGCATCCAACGTGTCAAGGTGAAGCGGATGCCCATTGAGGGCACTGGTGTGGGGAGCGTTGCGCTATACCACGAGTTGACAAAGTTAGAATTCATGGGCCGTTGAATTCTAACCCACCCCCACCATCACCACCAGCGAGCTTAACCTCGTGACCTGAAGGTCTTGGATTCGATCCGTAGTGGGCGTGCACTGATGAGGAATTCCTTGACTTTCAATGATCTGTTTAACTGATGTTAGTTCATAACGAAAATCTAACAGATATTTAAAGCAATTAGTTGGTGTTATGAATTTCGACAAAACTATAAAAAGACGTAGTTCATTTGAACCGTGTAATTTATTAGCAGAACACATGTCGGACATTCTGATCGCACATGTACTTGTCATACACACTTATATAGTAGGCAACAGAGCATGTGTGTGTGTTAGGACATACGTACATAAGGATGACCCATCGGTCTCTTCAGATTAGAGCTACAGAATGCACATTCCAAAGTGTCTGTGAGAACAAATCAAATCACCAGATTCACTTAATCCTGGAAATAGATATCCAAAATCATCTGTCGCAAAGCGAATCAAAAAGACGAGTCGCAAAGTTGATTTCAGTAGTACTTTTCAACCCATACAGAAGACAAGTTTGAGTCACATATATAAATCCGTTGAAGCCTAAGCTATAAAAAGGCTTAAACCTGCTTTTTGTGTTCAAAAACTATTCGATTCCACATTATAACAAAGACGATTAAAGGTGATAATATTTTTCAACTTGATATGAAAGTTTAAAGCTATGAATATAGATTACAAGGGGTTTAGAAACAAATCAGTTGTCATTACTTTGAACCTGTCTTGGTAATCTAATTTCAGAATCAAGGTCCAATGTACTTGGTAATAATTTCACCCGCTCTTTGCTCCTTTTCTTGCCTCATACATAGTCTTACGCCAACTTCCAACCTCTTATCTGTGCCCCCGGCCTGTAAACTATTTATTCTATGCTGTAATCATTTATACTCCGTTGACTTCCATATAAATGTATACGACAAGTATTTGTGCGACCAGAATACCCAAAATGTGTTGTGCAAACAGACTACAAGTTTCAAACAAATTACGCCATCTTATTGTTTTGGTGAAAATCTAACACGAATAAGTAGAGGTTAGAATTCATGGGCTGGCCATTGAGTCAGGTCCCGGTGGCTGAAAGATCTACGAACTTGCCTTGTAGTCAGAAGGTCCTGAGTTCGAATCCAGGTGGTGGGTGCGTACTGTAGATGAATCACGAACACTAGGACGAAACAACAGTCCATCCAGTACTCTCTGGATGGTTTTCTGATTGACATCAATCCGTGATGAATTTTGAAAGCTAAATAATAATCGGTACAGGACATACTATTGAACATGACATCAACTATAAATATATTTGCAATTAGTAGTGTTCTCTGAGCTGGTTCGTTGAGTTGCGGAGCTTTCATCGTCCTTCTGGACAACATCTTCAGCGCAATATTTAGCATAAAGTGAAATGATTTAAATTTCTTCATGAGTGATACAATTGCGTCTCCCGGTAACCATTTTTACATATGTATTGACCATTTTCTATTGACTTGGATTCTAAACTTTCTGGTCACCTAGTTTACTTTTATCTGTTGGCATATTTCGTCTATATTAACGTGTTTGTTAATTGCGTTTTCGTTTGAGTACCAGGCTTCTAGGAATTCCCTGGCACTTTTGGTGTTTCCTCTGTCTAAGATTTCAACTATAAATATATCCCTAATCGTAACTCTAACCTTAATCCTGACACCAACCCTAAACTTAACACTAACCCTAATTACAGACCTTATCCTAACCGTAAACCTAACCCTAATGCTAATTATGACCCTGATCATAACCCTAATCCCAACCCTACTGAGCTATTAACACATTGTCGAAACAGTACTTAAAAACGTGATCTGGGTGAAATTTACTGCTTAATTGGCGAATAGCGTTGATATTTCAGCTATGATAATGACAGGTGCTTTTAGCCAACGACTAGCATGCGTTCAAGGTCATTGGAGCGTTCTCACTCCTGGGACGCTACTGTTGAACTTTGCCAGAAAAAGTATTTTTGGAACTAAATAAGCTGAAAATGTTTGTACCATATGTTCGCATTTTTCTGAAATAAAGCTTTATTATTATTATTAAAGAAGCAGAAATTTTATATATATAAATCTAGACTCCATCTCAACGGCTCATGTTTTAATTCAGGGGTCCCAGATTTGATTCCCTCTGGTGTCACAGTTAATATATAGTCATCTCAACAGTAAGGTTGTTTTGTTTAAATTGGTCAAGTATGCATTAAATGTTCAGTGCCTAAATTTCATTTGGTTATACTGATATAATACACAATTTTTGCTATTGCAAATGTCAATGAACTCTTTACACTACTACATTAAAATAAGTATTATTTTTTAATTTGACCTCTAGAACTTCAAACAGATTGTGACCTATTTTTTCAAGTATGAAATCTATCGAATTTCATAAAATTCTATAGATTCAATTACAAAATAAAAATTATTTAAGTAGAGCACTCATGACTGTCAAATGATGGATTTATGGAATTTAGAAAACTGAAAAATTTGTGTAAAACTAAACGTTTATGCTATTTTAATTAATATGCTCTAGCAGTGAAATCCATGGCGTTCATTTCGTCCTATTTGGGACTCATCAACAGGATATGCCTGTATTCTCAGTGAACAGTAGTGTTCTCACTGACACTCGACAGTTGCACCTATCATTTCAAACACCAAAGCGTTGTCCACAAGATCAGTGGGACACTAGAACTACATCGAATGCAACGGGTATCAGTTGTTATTTGCTTTCACGTCAATTTGCTCTCATGGACCAGTGGCCTAATGCATAACGCTTTGACGTTTGAAACGATGAGGCGTGTGTGTGAATAACATCACTAGCTGGGAGTACAGGATCAACTAGTTGATGAGTCCCAAATAGTAGTAAATGGGCATCATAGATCCCACTGCTGGTCACCCTGATCCAAAATGACATCACATAAATCTTCAGACGTCTCCAAAGCATCCGTACTAGGAGCGAACATTTCGACAGAGGTCGAAAACTTCGGCCCAAGGTAATCAATCAGCGGGAAGTGCGAAATAACATGAAACTATGCCAGTCTATTGTTTTCCATTACATGGAAATTTGTATGCATGGAATTTAGGCTTCAGTCTTCTTTACACAAAATGATGCAAATTTACACCATAACTTGAAAATAGAAGACTTCAATATTAATTATTTAAAAAGCAGCCGTCTTGTCTATTCATCCTAGTTACAATGTAATGGAAGAGTTATACGGATTGGTCATCATGGTGACAATCAATGTAATGTGTTAAGTTTTAAGTTTAATCCCTAATTGATGTCAGTTAGAAGAACACTTGAAACTATCAGGGAGTACTGGACAGCTAGCTGTTCTTTTCCTAGTTTGTTACTTTTCAGAAATATACACTCTTTACTCCACCGGGAATCGAAGTGTAATTCCATTATGGGTAAATTTTGTTTTAATAAAGTCTCACAGTGTTATACAGTAATGTTTACTGATGACGTTTCGAGCACAATTTATTGCTCATAATCATATCATATATCACCTTGATATATATATGCAAACATCAGCAGCTCAGTAGTAGTATGCTTGCGAACAACCCAGTTGGTTTGGATTCGATTCTCAGCCGACGCATTTCTACACCTCGATTAGCCGGTAATAAGCTCAATCAATGAGGGAAGGTTGAGCATAAGGCTAGCAACCCTATCCCATAAAAAAGACGATCGTTACTGAAACTTCGAAGCTCAGGTGTGAAACCCAGTGTTTCACTCAGAACGCAATGGAATGAAATAAAGATGTATATATATGCGGTAAAATATATAATAATGCATGTTTGTGTATACTCTATGACGTTTGTTTACTAGTCAGCAAGGTTTTGCTAGCAATTCCCAATGAGTCCAGTTATTTTCTTATACACTCGAATTTGTATCACTGCGCCATGAAGTCAAAACATTAGCTCTCTGAAAGTTTGTCTGTCTGTCTGGATTCAGCATAGAACTTGGCACCGAAGTGCAGCAGTTCGAGTTGCCACGTTCCAAATAGCACACAAATGTAGACAAGAAAATGAGTGAAGAGAATCAATAGAGTTTTGACAAGTATAAGAGTGAAACAAAATGAGTAATGGTAGAAAAGAAAATGAAAGATTACAGAGACTGAATACATCTGCGCCATTGACAACGATTTTGGGCCATGTCACCTATTGTCTGCAACCATTGATGATTCTTAGAGTCCCGAGGGCCCCTGCCCGGAAGTCTGCATATTCCGACCTGACTCAGTTTAACTGTCAGGGATTTCATGGATTGATGAGGCCATGTTTTTGTTTGACCACCACTTACTCTTTTCCAACCTGCACCTATATCAGCTAGTAATGCCCGTCGGAGGAGGCGATGGTTAGGCATGCGCAGTACGTGACCTAACCATCTCAATCTATGTAACTTTATAGCCTCTTCGATTGATTTTCCCTCTTTGCCCAACACTCTACGCCTAACGTCAACATTACCTTATTATGCCACCTAACGTGAGAAAGATATCGTAGACATCTATGATCAAAAACAGTCAACGTTTTCATATCTTCAACTCGTATTGGCCATGTTTCAGAGCCACAGAGAAGGATGAAGAGAACTCCTGAGCAGTACATACGTCCCTTGGTTGGTAGCCGGATGTCACGCCTACGCCAGGGATGGTGTAAGTTAGCGAAAGCAGCCCGAGCTTTTTGGATCCGTGCTGAGATTTCGTCACCAATCAATCCGTTGGTGCTGATACAATTTCCCAAATAGGTGAAGTGATCAACATGTTCTATCACTTCACTCCCTATCACTAAGCTAGGAGTTGACGTAGTCCAGTCCTGTAGCAGCATCTTACGTTTTACAGGGGCGAATCGCATGCCAAACATACGAAGATTGCTGCTCAAGATATTCAAAAGACTCTGTATTTTGTCAGCATCCTCCCCTAACAGGACTCTCTGAAAGTACTAAAAATATACTATGCTAAAGAATACGAGTGATGCGGAATAATTGGTTGGAAAATCCCTCCTGAACGATCCGGTTACAATATTTATACTTATCCACGTACTGCCGATGGTTCCCGAAACTAGGATGAAACAGCTGGCTTTCCAGTACTCCATTGCTGGTTTTCAATGCTTCTCTAACTGATATCAATCCGTAGTCAAACTCATGAAAAAATAAATTTAATCCTTACAAACCAACTCTTGAAAACTTTGTAATTATTATCCGTTTTTCTCCTAGACTGTATATCAGTGTTTTGACATTTGCATATCATATGTCGAATTGATCATATTATTTGCCTTTTCCCCTGTTTAATGTCTAATTATAATTCTTCTTTCTGAGATTGTGCGATTCACTGACAATGTGTTGTTTTACTTTGTGACTTTGTTTGAGTGAAGCAAGATCAATCTGAACTTGAACTGTCTGCAGGAAGCAATGGTATTTGATTCTTGTGGACAGCGTTTTTGATCCTACCATGTTGGAAATCGTCTACATGAATCTATAGTACTTCTTGTAGTTGAATTTGGTTAAATAATTTTGTTCTACGGTACTCATTTTGTACTTGGAAACTTACCTTGTCTGTATAGCTGCCTAACAGCACTACTGAGGTAATTTTAGTTTTCGATGGTATTATCGTTGAATAGGACAACAGATCTATCAACGAATAAGCATCTTTTTGCTATGTTTGGAGCTTTGTGTGACTGCGCGTGTCTCAAGGAAGTTTTTTCAGCTTTACAGTAGGACGCAGAGATCGGCTTTCTGCGTTCAGACCACAAGTCCGTTTTGGTCGTTACAATTAACAAGTATTAAAATTAGCTTCAAAGACTCACGTCAGTTAGGACTAGAAGTAACTAGCATTTCAATATTCAATCAACATTACCATTGATACCATGAACAATTTTAGCGGGAAAATTAAAACAATACCCAACTTACCCATAGACTCGTTAACAGAGACATCAACATTTTCTATAGATTCATTGAATTGACCAGTAGATGAATTATCTTTTGAGCTGATCAATTTTTGATGATGACTACGATATTTTTTATACCGTTGTTGACGATAATGTTTGTGTAATACTTCAGCATAATTCACAGCAAGACGAAATAAACGATGGTATTGATCACAACAATGATCCTTTGTAGACGTGAACGACGATGACGATGATGCTGGTAACGGTTTGCCACAGTATTTACACGTTTTCTTTCCATCAGCTATTGCTATTCGTTTGGTGTATGTTTTAGCCAGTGAGGATAATTTCAGCTTCTCGAGATTATTTCTGCAGTATACATCTTTGACAACCTGTTTACAAAGACATGTATATATATGTATAATGGGAAGATAAATTCAGTTAAATAAGAATGATATTCCACTCATTGGTCAGTAAAACAGTATTTTAACTTCATGGTTATCATAATTAATCATGGCTTCATATTTGTCCATGAAATGAAACAACTCTCAAGAACTAAAGGCCCTCAAAAAGCTGAAAAATAGGAAGGACATCGTCATTCTACCAGCTGACAAAGGAAGAACAACAGTAGTCATGGACAGAGAAGAAAACACCAAGAAAGATGAAGAACTACTCAAAGACGAGGATGTATATCAACAAATCCCATACAAACATTAGACAACCGCATCCAAAGAACCTTAAACAAGCTCACCAAAACTGGTCAGATCACAAAACAAGACCAATGGCGAATGAAATCCAATGGACCCCGATTCTACGGCAGACCCAAAATACACAAGCCAAATATCCCGTTACAACCAATTGTATCACTCCCAGGAACTCCAACATACAATTTATCCAAAGAATTATACAGAAAATTGAAACACCTAACGGAATCTTGTGATCACTCCATCAATTCTGCTATCCAATTTCTAGAGAAAATCAGAGGCGTCCAAATAGATGACCAAGAAATAATGATATCCTTCGACGTCACAGAATTATATACCTCAATCGGACAGAAACTAGCAAAAGAGACCATGGAGCAATTACTCAGCAACGACGAACACCTCCCACAACAATCAAAAATGCAACACACAAGCTGGATGGAATGCATAAACCTATGCCTAACAACGTACTTCCAATTCAACGGCCAAATATATGAACAAGTTAAAGGAACACCCATGGGATCGCCAATATCAGGTTTGATTGCAGAAGCAGTGATGCAAAGGCTCGAAAACATAATCCTACCAAAGATCAAACCCAAAATTTGGATACGTTACGTAGATGACACATTTGTAATAATCAAAAGAAAGAAGTTAGATAAAACTCACAACTTAAAAAACAACGTCTTCAAAGATATCAAATTCACAAGAGAAGAGGAATTCGAGAACAAAATCCCATTTTTGGGCTTCTTAGTCAAGCGAACAACCACGAGGAATTAGAAACTCAAGTCTATAGAAAATCAACTCGCACAGACCAAATACTGAATTATAACAGCAACAATCCAATAACACACAAACGGAATTGCGTACAAACACTATTCAAGAGGGCCAGGACTCATTGCAGCACTCCCACCTTAAGGAAAATTGAAGAAAGATATCTCATGGGCGTCTTCCAACAGAATGGATATCCACGGTATTTCATGAAAAAACATATACCTCCAAGCTAACCTATCAATCAAAAGCCCACAAGGAAAGTGCCAAGAAAATCACCCTACCATATATAAACGACATCTCAGAAATCACCGCAAGACTCTTCAAACCTTTAGGAATTGACGTCGCACACAAACCAACAAAATCACTTCACTCAGCTGGCTCTATGTCAACCAAAAGACTCAACAACGAAAGAAGATAAAACCAACATCATCTACAAAATAAATTGTAACAACTGCGAAAAACACCACATTGACCAAAGTGGACGTCCCCTTCGTCTTCGTATCCATGAACATAAACTAGCCGTCAAAAGACATGACATCCACACCCTCGTTCATATCACTGCATACAGACAACCACGGATATCAATTTGATTGGGACAACGTTCAAATATTAGACAGAGGAAACAACAAGAATGCTAGAGAATTTTTAGAAGCCTGGCATTCCAGTGAATCATCAATCAATAGACACATCGAGATAGACAAAATTTACCAACCGATAAGAAGGAAACCTCACACATAAAGGGTCAAAGTTCAAGTCAAAGAAACAATCAGTTCCAATACAAGCAGCCTAGAAGGTGTGAAAACATACAAAAACAACCAATCACGTCCAAGGTCACCGGGAGAGATGATTAATAAACTCGTGGAGAAATCTAAAAGCTCACTTCATTCAAATTGAAGTATGCGCTGAAGATGTCACCTAGTAGGGCGATGAAAGCTTCACAAATTAACTATCCAACTCAGAGAACACAACCACATCAAAATCACCCACCTGAGCTACAAATCTTCTCCATCATATCTATCCCATTATATATTAGATGGTTGGAGGCAATCGGCTGGAAGCCTTACTTGACCTAGGTTTCGTGCTAGTTGGCACTCGTCAACAAGGCATGTCTGCAACCTTGAAGGAACTCATGTCCCTTCATGGTGGCCACATTGCGAACTTGACTGATAGAATTCAGTCTGCACCAAAGAAAGGACTAGATACATCACACTAGTTACTAGTGTCCAGTCAAAGTATCTATATTAATATTAGTTTATTCAGATCTGTGTGATAAGTAAATGCGTTGCTATTAATATCAATATTAATATTTTGTTGGTTATTCTTACGTATGTGAAAGAAAGTGACTATGTTGTACACTTACATCTGCGTAATTCTAACTGAATTGAATTTCGGCTACACGTTTATTTGCGTATCGAATTTCGTGTGAAAAACAATCATAAAATAAACTTATTATTCATTTGCTGTGGTCATTGATTATGAGTTGTAGTTAGTTAGTGTTTTATGTAGAAATAAGTTCATGATATGATTTTGAAAAAACCATACAAATGTAAAATACTATACATACACCTGTTAGAAGAAAATAAGAAGAACGCAAGATCGAAATGGTCAGATAAATATCGGAGTGTAAAAGTTAGACAACAATGGACTACATAAAACTACCTAATACTGATTGACTGAGATGACTAGAGAAGTAGTGTAACGATAGAAGAGAAAATCAAGAGGTATTTATAGATTTTTATATGCATTATTATTAGCTGAGAAGCAACCTCTTCTGATTGGTTGTTTTCCTGCTGAAGGTTATTCTGTACTGCTTGTGACCGTTTCTCAGAAAGTTAAGCCATATATCTGCGAATCGTATTTGCACACGTTAAGTCCACTGTGATTGGTTGGTGAGTTCCTCAAGGTTAAGCTTTGTTATCGTTTTTCTCATGACCCTGATTCCGGACGTAACACTGACGTAAATTGTTGTTTACAATTTTGGCTTGTTCGCAGCCAGCACTCACCACAGTAGTATACTACTCATATCAACTATTAATGCTCCCTAACCAGCCATCCTTCAGTTATTTAAACACCAGACGACCATTCCTCTCGTTTGGGATCGAGCTCATCAGTAGTGTACCCAGTTTGACTTGGCTCAGAGAGGCGAATTCCTTGAAACGACCAAAACATAGCTAACCGCTTAAGCGAAATGTTAATACATTGGATCGAATTCGCAATCTGCACAGTTCGAGATGATTATTTCACCGCTGCTTGCTTTGCAAACCAAGATTATTCAGATGACAAGATGTAATCTGCTTGATACCACTAAGGACGATCAATAAAGCAAGGATAAATGCATGATACTGAATAACATAAATAGTTGGATTAAATACCACTCACATCAGCCTATGGTACTGATCTGAATAATTTCGGTTTCTAAAGGAAACTGTAATGAAATAATCACCTTGAACTGTGTGAACTGGGAACTAATTCACAAAATTGCTGACTAATTTGAAAATTGGGAATTTGAACGATGGGCTACCTTCACATAAAGTGTAAACTGTCCTACAAGAATAATTATTCAACTCGGCATAGTCAGCAATCTATTGTTTGTGTATAAGTATTTTATCATGATACGCATTATCATCGAACAAAGCATGGTATGGCAATCAAATCTCGACCTCAACTTCATAGACTTTGAGAAGGCCTTCGACAGCGTTGACCGCGAAGTAATTTGGAAACTACTCGAGTACTACGGCGTACCGCAAATATTCATCAACCTTATTCAACAACTGTACGACAACGGCACATGTCAAGTGATCCACAACGGAAAACTCAGCGAAGCGTTTGGAGTAAACACAGGAGTCAGACAAGGGTGCTTATTATCACCAATGATATTTCTAATTGTGGTGGACTGGATTATGCGTCAGACAGTGGGAAACGAGAAGACAGGGATATCCTGGACCGACGTGAAGAACCTAGAAGACCTGGATTTTGCGGATGATTTATGTTTGATGTCACACAAAATCGAAGACTTACAAGCGAAAACCGACAAACTGGTCGAAGAAGCAGCAAAGACAGGACTCCAGGTCAACATAGACAAGACGGAGGTTATGAAAATAACCAACCAACAACAGCAGCAACATCCAGTGCCAATCACCATCAACGGGAGGGATTTGAAAGAGGTTACTTCTTTCACTTATCTGGGGAGCATTGTCTCAACCACAGGAGGAACGGACGAGGATGTCAAATCGAGAATCGGGAAGGCGAGAAACACATTCATCAACCTGAAACCAATCTGGAAATCTTCGTCACTCACCATCAACAACAAAATTCGGATTTTCAATACAAACGTGAAGTCAATTTTGCTTTACGGATCAGAAACTTGGCGGGTCACCAAGAATATTTTCAACAGGTTGCAGACCTTTATCAACAACTGTCTTCGCTCCATACTGAAGATTAGATGGCCAGAAAGAATTACAAACAAGAAGCTATGGGAACAAACGAAACAGGAACCAATCGCTCAACAAATATGCAGGAGAAAGTGGAGATGGATTGGACACTCGCTGAGGAGGCCGTTGAGTGACATCGCGCGTCAAGCCCTCGAGTGGAACCCGAAAGGGAAGCGGCGAGTGGGACGTCCAAGGGTGACATGGAGGAGATCGTGTGAGGAGGAGATGAAACAGTATGGAATAAGATGGACGCAAGTGAAAAGAACAGCAGAAGACAGAAGCAAGTGGAGACGTGCAGTTGAAGCCCTATGTTCCACTAGGAACCCAAGGGAACAATAATAATAATAATAATTTTATCATGAAGCTAATTTTAGCTTCACATAATTTCTTGGTTCACTCGTTTAATCATTTATTTATCATCTGGCGAATATTGGAGGTATGATTGACTGGTCTAGCCAGTCAACGTTTAACCGCTGGGTAATGGATTTG